TCGCCTAAAATAGCCTTTGACTTAGGTTTAGACACTAAAAGTCCAGACAATCGCTCATCCATTTTGGGGAAAAATGAATTGATTTCTTCGCAAACGAACGACAATTTGACTGAAGAGTAAGTTATTGAGTCTTTTGACGGATTGAATTGTATTTAAACTAATGATTTGATTGCATTGCAGCGGAACTGATTCACAGCAAGAGTCGGGAACGGGTCCTAACACGCCATTAGTGGACGAGCCGTCGGACATATACGACGGCGCTGGAGAGCCGACTGGCCCAACGGATGTGAACCCTGTGTTATCATTAGCTCAATATCCCACTCAATCAATGCCGCAAACTTTGCAGACATACCCTCCGCGCTCACGACCACCACTCGGTCCGCAAACAATACGTCCCATTCGGACAATAGGACAGCAAAACCCCAGTCTATTGGGACGAAACCCTATACTACCTCCACCTCGAGGTCCGTACCCTCCCAGGCCTGGTATGAATCAACCCTTTCGACCGATGCCGGGCGGCTCTTATCCAATGGCAATGAGTCACGGAATGCCTCCCTATGGATATCCGCCTCAAATGAGGCCTCCCGCGTACGACCCATACGGATATATGGGTCCCCGATCTCAACACATGGGTCCTCTGCACCATACGATGGGAATGCACGGTATGCCTGAAGCGCCCCCACCCGGTAGGCATCCATTCACTTGTTTGCTATTTGTTTAATGAGTTGATTACTTATTTGTTAATTGTCTCACTCTTCAGGTTCTGCGCCAATCAGTGCTGATCCTCACTATCCATACGCACCCACCGATTACGACGACTACGAGGACCGACTCAACCGTTTCACTCGACAACTGGAGTCCCGACCCACACGTCGACCCAAACGGCGAAGCGTTTCGCGATCGCGTAGTCGACACACCCGAAGCCGTTCCTCGTCCTCGTCGTCTTCAGGTTCCTCTTCGTCCACATCCCGTTCCTCGCGCTTCACAATGAGTTCCAGAAGTTATAGCGGATCCTCCCGGAGTCGAAGTTATTCGCCGCGAAGGAGGTCCCGATCGCGTGACCGTCGCTACCGACGCCGCTCACGAACGCCGTCGCCTCGTTATAGGGGTTCACACCGTGATTACAGATACCGGCGCTCCCGCTCCCCATACGACGCGCGCCGCCATGACGACAGAACTCACAGTCGATACCCGAAGGATAGGCCCAAAGACAAGGAGAGGGAAAGGGATCCCAAGTATCGCGACTCGAGAAGCGGTCGTAACGAACGCACCGAACCGTCGAGTCGTTCAGCGCATCG